CAAATAAGAGAGCAGGTGCTGATGTAGAGAGGCTCGAGTTTGTAAAATTTCATGTTAAATGGCATGAGCCATCGTGGGCCCTTGGGGAAAAGGACTTGGCTTTTTTTTCTGGCATCTGAGGTGAGAATAACCATGAATGATTGCTCCGCATTACTGTATGGCGTAGTCAGGAGAGCACAGCTGTCACCAGCTATTAAGTCCACTTCTGCACGGACTGGTGCGGAAAAAAGGAGACTCGTTACAATGCGAGATATGCGCATGATAGCCTGTTCTGTCTGAACGAGATGAGAGGAGATGCTCGTGTTTATGGATATGCCCAAATCTAATCAGACAGCGTTCGCTGCGTTCATCGCGACGGCCGTCTCTTTCAAGTTTCTCATCATTAAAAACGACAATCCCAGAATCACGAGGGCCTTTGTTCTGCGTCCCCCTTCCTGTCTTTCTCCTGTACGATCTTGGCATAATTACCCATGCGCTGCTTGATCACTGCACTGAGCCGGGCTTTTCATGTTGTTGTTCTGCAATTCTAGGATCAATATACAGCGGGCTGCTTCTGTTGTCAATTGAAGAATCGATCCTGGTGAATGATGACAAGGCCACATTGCCAAAGAAAATCAGATTCCTTTACAGACGATCAAACACTCTTTCAAAACATTTTTCCAGCTTGAGAGAAACCTTTAAAGTGAAAACTGAACTGAGGCTTGACAACATTTTACACACAATGGAGTTCTCTTGAAAAACAGCCACAACTCTTTCCAGTTTGGCAGAATTAGTACTGATAACAAACTACACAACATCAGCTCGTGCAAACTCATAATACGACACACTCATAAAAACGAGTTTCTGCATAAACATCACGAGGTAGGGTTAATATAACGATGACTAGTTTTGTCATTGGTTTAGTATCTTATTACATTTTCTCTGTAATTTTATTCGGTTTTTGTTCATATTATGCCACACATTCCATCATTGCCAAACTGAAATTCAGCGTTTTTCAAACTAGGAGGTCTCAAGGGGTGCTGAAATATTTTAGAAAAACAGTGTCAAAAATGTCAAAAATAAAATAAATAATAATAAAATTAATTAATTAAATTACGGTTACAATTAACTAACCGTGATATAATCAGTTTCATTCTGCTTTCAAAGACTTTTTCTGCTTAACAGTAATGGTACTGGGGTCAGTAAGATTTATTTTTGAAAGAAATCAACACTTTTTTTTTTCCCCAAAAAAGGTGCTTTACATTGGTCAAAAGTAATAGTAAATAAATAAAATAAAGTAAAAGTAAAATAAATAATCTATTATCAATGAATCCTCCAAAAATGTATCACTGCTTCCACAAAAATATGAAGCAGCACAAATGTTTTGTTGTTAATAATCAGAAATGTTTCTTGAGCAGCAAATCAGCATATTATTATGATTTCTGAAGGATCGTGTGACACTGAAGACTGGAGAAATGATGCTGGAAATTCAGCTTTGATCACAGCAATAAATAATATATATATTTAAAATATATTCAAATAGAAAACTTTTATTTTGAAGTGTAATAATATTTATAACTATAATAATTTGAATGGTTGAGTATATAGAAACAAATGATAGAAACTTGATTGAAAGTAAATATATTCCAAATAATAATTGACATAATATTTTTTTAACATTGCAAATGGATTTTTATACAAACAAACAAACAAATAAATAATTTAATTAATTAATTTATAAAATATGATTTTCTGTGATTTTTTAATGAATTTATGCTTATATATTTTAGGAGTTTTTGCAAGGAAATCATCATATTTTGAGTTCCAACTGTTGTTTTGAAGACCCCCGTCATAAGTGCCCAATTATTACTCCACATGGCAAACTCGACTCGATTCTGGCACTAACATGTTGCTAACAGCACAATATTATATTAAGCATGAAAACCACAGCACATTAGGCTAAATATTATCTGAGCTTATCACAATGGATTCTAGGGTTTCCTTTACCTCAAACACAAAGGAAACATGTGATGCTCCCTGAGAATTTAAAATGCTGCCTCCCTAGTCAGTTTACTTGGTTTTGTAACAGAGCCTCTATTTATCATTCAAATCTTTGTTCTTAAAGTTTCTACGATACTTTCACTGGTAATTGTTACGGAGCCCCGCACATGGCATGCAGGGAAAAAATAGTAGGCTAAATCGTGTGCACGATTTACTATTTCGTTCCCTCATTTTATAAATTGTGTGCACGATTTACTATTTCGTTCCCTCAATTTATAAATTGTGTGCACGATTTACTATTTCGTTCCCTCGATTTATAAATTGTGTGCACGATTTACTATTTCGTTCCCTCGATTTATAAATTGTGCACACATTTACTATTTCGTTCCCTCGATTTGCTAAATCGTGCACACGATTTAGCAAATTGAGAGAACAAATTAGCAAATCAAGGGAACGAAATGGTAATCGTGTGCACGTTTTATTATATCAAGGGAACGAATTAGTAAATCGTGCGCAAAATGTATTTATTTTTTCTTGCATGTCATGAAAGGAATTGTATTGATTGGCTTGACTGATTGGCTCCACAAATTGTTGATTTTGCTGAAAAGATTAAGTTTCACTTGAGGCCAGGTTTTGTTGGCTTTTGAATGCTCCTCTTGTACGTCGTGCTTTGGCATCAATCAACGTCTCCCATCGTTTGCTTGCGTATTAGCGCACGCGGAGCAGGCGTGTCAGTCTGTCACTCTCTCTCTCAGGAAGGTGGGTTAGGACACTTTGTGGGTGAGGCTGACCGTAGCGTTATGAGAGCGCCTAGCCTGTGATTACAGATGTGCACTCGGAGCGTGATCGGCAGCCAGAACGCTCAGCTGTTTGAAGGACACTGACTCTCTCAGGTAATCACGGTCTCCCTCTGACCCTCCTCTTGCTGTGTGGCATATTTTACATGCCAGAATACCTCAGTCTCCTTAGAGGTCAACTGTCCAATTACAGTCAGAGTTGTGTGCTAAGTGTACTTAATTGTGTTAAGAAACATCTTCATGAAAGTGTATGCTCTTTAAGGGCACTTAAGTGACCTTTTACATTATATTATCTTTAAGCACTTTTTTAAAATTTACTTTAAAGATTTGAAGTACACTACAAGTGCACATTTAAACAATTGTGTGCTCTTCTTTTTCACAAGGGTTTACACTGAGAAAAAATATTTATTTTTAGTGAATACTGATGGAGCAACACAATATTTATTAAAAATATCATCGACAAGTGCTACAAGTGCACATTTAAACAATTGTGTGCTCTTCTTTTTCACAAGGGTTTACACTGAGAAAAAATATTTATTTTTAGTGAATACTGATGGAGCAACACAATATTTATTAAAAATATCATCGACAAGTGCTACAAGTGCACATTTAAACAATTGTGTGCTCTTCTTTTTCACAAGGGTTTACACTGAGAAAAAATATTTATTTTTAGTGAATACTGATGGAGCAACACAATATTTATTAAAAATATCATCGACAAGTGCTACAAGTGCACATTCAATACAATTAAGCACACTTTTTCACAAGGTTACAGAGAAAGCATCCCATTTAGGGATATGCCGGTATCAAATTCTCATGTTGCGATTAATTGCTAATGCTTTTATCACGGTATTCCATATTATCACGATATTGAAATTTAGTTTAAAACAAAAGTGTTGTCATAATACAGTATAACAGGTTCAATAACTTTTTTCTTATAACAAAAATAACTGAACATTTAAATGCAATAAAGCAATACAGAAAAATTTATAAAGTTAAACGTTTTACACAGATTAAAGTGCAAAATAACTATAAAGACCAATAGGTATCACTTTACAATAAGACCTCATTAGTTAACCTTAATGCATTAACATTCACAATGAGCAATAGCTACATTTGCTACAGAAGTTATTAATCTTTGTTTAAAAAGTCTTAGTTCATTAAAGGGGTCATATGATGCGATTTCAATTTTTCCTTTCTCTTTGGAGTGTTACAAGCTCTTGGTGCATAAAGAAGATCTGTAAATTTGCAAAAATTAAAGTCTCAAATCCAAAGAGATATTCTTTATAAAAGTTAAGAGACAGCCATACCTACCTAAAACAGCTTGTTCTAACACGCCCCCACATAAATGAATTATTATTATTATTATTATTATTATTTAGCGCCATCTGCTGTCAGAGAGTGAAAGTGCGCTTTCATCCAGAGCATCTCTCACATGTTACGCATGTGCTTCTCGTCTGCGCTTGTTTACATCAGAGTGTGCAGGTGTCTTTCACGCAGCATACAGCGGTGTTATGCATTTTGACCAGTTGATGGGAAAAGTATTCTTAAAATGCATTCAAAATTCTAAATCATTTGTAATATATAATTATTCACGGTATTTAGAAGTGCCCACGATAACAATATCGTGCATATTCATTACCGTGATATATCACATTACCGAATACCGGCACAAGTCTAATCCCATTATGACATATTTGGTAACACTCTACTTTGATAGTCCACTTTAGACACTGAAATAACTATGCTAATCAACTAGCAGGCATTCGAGTATTAGTAGACTGTCTACTTAATATCTGTTAATACTTTATTTTGATGCTCCATCAACAGACATACTACTGACTATAAGTAACTTTGCAAGTACTTGTCAACTTATTCTACTAACCCTAATCCTAACAGTCTACTAATACTCTAATGAGAGTTTGTTGACATGTAGTTGCAGAGTTACAGTCAGTAGAATGTCTAAAGTGGACTATCGAAATAAAGTGTTACCCGTTTTTTTAGATATCTTTTATCATTGCATTATGCTCCAAGTTATTTATACTCAATATAACTGAGCTTGTTGCAATATATTCTGAGATTGTCTTTTCAGTGAAGGTTTCATGCAACTCTGCCTTTGTATTTGGCTAAAAGGAATCTTAGGTTGCCTTAAAATGCTGCCTGTGGAGTCAGCTCATTAGGTTTTGGAACGCAGCCGAGAGAGAGAGAAAGAGAGACGCTCACTGGGATTGGGCGGAAAAAGAGTGCAGCTCTTGCAGTGGATGATTTCCTTCACAATGGGCATGTCTTGCGAAACCGGCGGGGGCACAATCCCAAGGCCGGGCATCATGGGGTTCATCGGAGCAATTCCAGTCATCATGCCGAGGCTGGGGTCAAAATCTGCAGGAACAGAACAGAGGACATCACAAAGGACTGAGTGAATAAAAGCCGCTTCAGTCTGCTATCATTCTGGTGTGGCACAAATTAAAGCAATGAGAGCGAAACGCTCTCCCTCGAAGACAAATAAACACATAAGTCTAATACATATTTAAAAGGCTTTCCGAATGAATAGGTTTTTACTGACTCATTCCTCCAGCTGTTTGCCTTGGCTTGTTACTATGCACAAGCGGTCCATCTGTGGGCAAAAAAAAGTGAACACTGGCTTTCATTTACAGGTATTGGTTTAGACTACAGCTGCATGACAGCGTGGAGCTCTTTGAAATGGAAATGACGAAGGCCTCGCTCTCTGCGGTCTCTTCTGCACCTGTGGAGAGTTTATACGTCTGTCTAACCTTACTAAGAGCACTCAACTCACATATTTCACATATTTCCCTTATTTGCAGCCATATAAGAAAAACAAGCTCTGCCTCTGGCATGAGGAAAAAATAGCAAAGAAAGTTCTGAGGGTAAAGATCTATGAAATGTAAATCGCACTGTAAATAAATGCGCCATACTGTAAGTAAATAATGCAATAACACATTTCAGGGTTTATACTGAAGCCTAAAATCTCTCTATACAAATAATAATAAAAAAAAGTTCTAAAATATTGAAATAAAACAAAATAAAATGGTTAAGACAAGACAAAACAAATTAGCAGAAAATATGTGTCAGCTTGAGGGGCAAAATCAGTTCAAAAGTAACTAATGCCTTGAACTAAACTGAAACAAACAAACAAGACAAATTAATAAAAAGTAAAACAATTAATATATAATATACAACTAGCTTTATATAGTACAATTTTTATACTACTCTATCTATCTATCTATCACCAAACAGCTGATAAAAATATCCCAATAATCCACACCACTCCAGTGCATCAGTTAGCATCTTGAGAAGCTAAAAGCTGCATGTTCGTAAGAAAAAAATATCCATCAGTTGTTTCAACTCTATTCCATCACTTCAAAATACCAGTCCATGATCCATAATAATGCCTCCGCCAGTAAAAAGTACATCTCCTGTTGTCTCTCACGTCAAAATCCATTTGGAAGCAATGGTTACAAACACAGATGTTAACTGATGGACTGGAGTGATATGGATTACTTGTGGATTAC